GGGGGGATGGGTTAGCCTGGTGATGGGTATTAAGGAGGGCACGTACTGCATGGAGCAGTGGGTGTTATATGAAAACAATGAATCATGGATCACTACATCAAAAACTAATGATGCACTGTATGGTGACATAACATAATAAAACAAAATAAAAATTTAAAAAATATGTATATTTTGTACCTCACAGTATAACGTAAGTTATCTTTTGGGCCAGAAATCAGAGATAAATGTAATCATATCAAAAACACGTAGAGCCAGCCTGAATAAGTTGTGACAATTGGAGCACACCAATAATGATCACAGTTGATTAAAACAATATTTAATATTAGAGAATGAGCCTGAAAGAGAGAACAAAACCAAAACAAAACTCAGTTGTCACCACTGGAAGTGGTTCCTACACCAACTCCTAGCTCTGAAAATTGATCATAGGAGGAAAAAACTAAAGATTACCTGAGGAAATATATTTCAGCATAATCAGATTAGCCACATGGATGAAGTAAAGCATCTCTTCATAGAAGAATGCCATGAAAAATGCAGAAGTGATAGAATTTTTAAAAATCACTCCTCTGCAAGTTCTAATATAAACAGATTCAGGAAGGATCATCAGTGGATGCTAAACCTAATGGGTATAAGGTTGATGAAAAACTGGTGTTCAGAGTGTTCAAAGTGTCAGTTTCCGATTACAGTGCACCTTGCAAGGGAGAAAACATAATTTTGCAGTGGGCTGATACAACGGTCACCACTGGAGAACCACTCTGAGCTCACTTACAGAGGAACACGTGTCCAGAGATGATGCGACATAAAGTACAAAGCAGCATCTGTGAAGTATTCTTGCCAAAAATGTTTAACCTAAAACTCAGCAAGTCTTTAGATCTAATTTTCCGTTTACAAGAAATACTGAGAATAGGTGAACAAGCTAACACCGTGAAACAGCAATCTGACAAATTCAGAACTGGAATATTCTACAGGATGATGAAGTCTTCAATGTCATGAAAAAGTGGGAAAAGGGAGAAAGGGAGTCTGTTCTGAATTAAAAGACAATTAAGAGTTGTAACAGTCAAAGGCAATAGCCAAAGGATCTTAATTGGATCCTATATGGAATAAAACAACTATAAAATATGTTTGGGGAACACAATGTGAACTACATGGATATGAAATGGTATTGAAGAATAACTCCATTTTGCAAAATGTAATGATTATACTGTGATTATATAGGAGAATGTCTTTTTTTAGAGATGAACATTGAAATGTTTATAGAGATAAAATACAATGACATGTATAATTTAAAATTCCTCAGCACAATGAAATAGAAAAAGCGAATAATGGCAAAATGTTAACAATTGTTCGGTCTCGCTGGGTTCTACATGAAGGTTCATCGCAGTATTTTCTTCGCCTCTCTGTAGCTTTAAAATTTTTTCACAACAAAAGAAAAAAAAGTTAATGTCATTCCTCAAAATCTTCTAAAGATTTTCCTTGCTTCAGAGAATACAAGCTAGATTCCACATCACGGACCAGGCACCCCCCTACCTCATCTCTCCACCACCTGCCACCCTAGCTAGCTTCCTTGCTCCTCACGCAACCACACTTTCTTTGCTCTTCTCGCTTGTCCTTCATCCACCTGGTAACTCCTTTACTTTGTTCAAGCCTCTGCATGAAGCATACTTGATCAGAAAGGATGTTTCCCTGACCGCTATCTCCACAATAGCATCCTACTACCTTCTGTCATGTTCCTCATCCTCTACCCTGCTTTACTGTGCTTCACTGTACTTTTCACCCCTGACATACTCTAGATGTATGTTGCTTTACCGCCGGTCTCCAGTAGAATTTCAGGTACTGTGATAATACACCCTTTGTCTCTTTTGTTCATTGTTGTATCCTGGTACCCAAAATATAGTAGTGCTTGGCACATAGTAAGCACTCAATAAATTTTGCTGAATGAATGAATTATGACCATTAGGTGTGGAATTAAAAATATAAATCTTTCTTTTCTCCAGAACATCCTCTTTGATCACGGAAAATGTGCTATAATAATCATGTATCTCCTTTTAACTGTGGAATTACTGCCTTGTAAAAGAAAATAGTAAAACAATCTCTTAGGCTTACAGGTACTTTGTTTGCACTCTATGTTGTAAATCATTTCTCTTTCTTGATAAGAGAAGTTAAAATATGGAATAATTATATATTCTTAAGCTCTGTAAACACAGCATGCCTACTAACTCATCACGCTGAGATAAACAATTAAGATCAAACCACAGCACTTACCGGCATCTGTAAATATATCACTCATCCTGCTGTATTATGTATCCTGATACCACCACCCTTTAGAACACAAGCTCTGTTAAGAGAAGGAGTCTGTCCGTCTTATCCACTCCTGTATCCCTCCCTCCTCAAACAGTGCCTGACACATAGCAGGTACTCGAATAGGTAATTTCTGAATAAAATAATTCATTAATTCTGCTCAATTTTATGTAAATTTCCTATGTGGCACACTCACGCACTGCCCTCTGATAAGGGAGTCACTGATGTCATTTCTTAAGACTATTACAGCTATAATGTAACCTTCATGCTCTAGGCTTTGCTTTGATAAATGAAATTAACCTGCAGAGTGTCAGTTCATGAAATGTACGCCTGTTTTCTTAAGTTGTAAATGACACCAATAACGTTATTTTTTTTCTTTTTAATCTTTGAAGCTAAACCTGATTTTGGTTTTCTGAAATGGCTACAAGATCTCATTATCTCCCTTTTATTGAGAACAATGACACTATTAAGCACTTTTTCAACAGTTTCTAAAACGTACATGTTATATGGAACTTTTTCATACTTCCAAAATGGTAGGAAGACATCCTATTAAACGTACAGTGAACTGTAGGCTAAATAAACCTCTGAAATTTTTGTGAAAAAGGTAGACAACTTACTCTCTGGGGGATGTGAGTACAAAACTTTTCCTTTTTTTTTTTTTTCTGCTTTTGACCCTAATTTTAAGGTTATCCATAGTAGGCCATCATGTTTTTAATATAAGCTTTATCTGTTACACAGCCACTTTTTAGAGGTACTTTAAAAGAAAAAGCAATGCCACTAAGATGTAGGGACTTACGGGATGTCTGGCCACATGGCATAGTTGAGGTCGGCTCTGAGGCCACGACACATAAAAGTGGATATCAGAGCAAGAGGGACTTAGCGGTCGAGATCACAGACTCCGGCCAACCTGCCTTTTGAGAAGAACTATATCAAGTTTGAAGTGAATCTGTTTACACTCTCCTTGGCAACATATGGAAAAAGGGTAAGTAAAGGTACCACTTGTTCATTCTTCAACCCAGCTACGTAGACAATGTTCAAAAATAAGCATTACTGAAGAAGCACGTGGAAATCTGAGTTTCCCCCTCAGGGATCTGGGAGGATAACATCTTTCCAGGGCAAAATGGAATAAAGAGAGTTTGTTGTACTATTTTGAGAATGGGGAGAATCTGGTAATCCCAAAATCAAGTGTGAGTTCAAAAGATTTAGATAAAAGGTACTGGGCTCACATTTGTCATCATGATGGTGAACATTCTTTGTAAGAAACGATAATAAATCTGATCACTTGATATGATATGCGGCAGACAGGCATATTTCTGTAGTAGCTTCTCATGAGTTCTCCATTTCAAGGAGGCTGCTGCTCGCTGCTCAGCAGCTGTGAGGGCTGGGATCAAGTCAGGCAGAGATGATAACTGAAAAAAAGCACATCAGAAGATTGATGATAATAAATCAACTGCAGCATTCAGTCAAACTATTCAGTCTTACGATACATTGGGGAGAGGAATATTCTCACTCACTTCAGAACCTAGGAGGATCTTAGTTGTCATAGGGAGATAATTATCTGGCAAAATCAAACACGTTTCAAAAAGATCCATCAGTAAAATTTACGGTCACTGAAAACAAAATTTTGAAATAGAGAATGGGACTCAATCCTTCTAACTAAAGTAAAATTTCTTATATTTCGCTGTTGGAAAATTTTGACCTTCTACATTCCTACTCTTCTGTCCTCACCAGATGCTATTCTTAGAATAATAATTAATGCTAATAAAAACTGGAAATATGAATGTAAACTCCAAGGACAATAAATAAGAATCATGGTAATGGAATAATTGTAGGAAAAATTCAGGCTGTTGAAGCTCCAAGAGACATTTACTAAGCTACCTGCTATTATGGGGCAAGCACGACTTTAAATGTTTTCCACACATTCTCTCATTGATTCCCCACAACAACTCTATAGAGAAAGATCATATTTAAAACATTCAGGAACTTCTTTGATACATGGGATTTACCTTATTTTCTTGAATAGTGCTTTCTCCACCAGTAGACATAAGTTCAAGGATTTCTGGAAGATGATCTATAAGAGCATCTAGTACCTTTCAATAGAGATATCAATTACTGTTATGGCAACTACTGTTTTTCTAATCTTAGGTTAGCCTCATATGTCAATTTCTGTGCAGAAATAGTATTATTTACCAAACAACATTTAGGGAGTTTCTATTTTCTTACGTTGCCATCTTCTTGCTGGAACATTTTAGAAAAATAATCAACTGGCTTGATCAAAGCTACCTTTGAAAAGAGATTAGTATACCTGCCCCTTGATATTGTTCAAATAGTCTAGATCTGAGACAGCTACTTCCATACAACCAATATGCCAAAAAACTGCCTCTCAACTTTTAAAAAGCAATTTAAGTAAGATAACACCCTCAGCAATGTGTAACTATTGATGAGTTGAGCTAGCAGTCATTTGGGTGAACAGGATATACTAAATGCAGCATCAAAATAAAGTATTTCAGTTTTCCCAAATATATTCCCTAAACAATGCTGAGAGAAAAAAAAAAAAGATGTAAAATGTGATATAAAATAGGATTGCAATTAAGTAAAATAAAAACTTTTTCATAGCAAAGAAAAAGAAAAACTTAAAAATATAACAAAACAGAAACAGTAATTGGAACTAAAGGTATCCTTTTGTTTGTCTACTTTTTGGCATGTCCTAAATTCTTAATAAACAAATATACATATATATTTTAAAACTGAGTATTTTTTTAACGATCTCAATTTCCAGTCTATGATACAACTGCACCTTGTCTTGACGCTTTTGGGGCTAGTCAGCTGAAAGAATTCATGCAATTCCTAAGAAGTGCAGGGGAAGAGGGGAAGGGCATTGATAATATTCAGACTTAACATGAAGTAAAAACCAAAGAGTAAGAAGATATTACCTCCAGTGATTCATCTTGTAATAATGTTATTAATTCTTTATGTATTAAAAATACTCCAGAATTCAGAAGTTTAGATACCTGAAATGCAACAATAAAGTCTCTCAGATTTAAAACTACTAGACATTTAAAGGTTATAATAATATTTTACAAAACACATCCCTGTTAGATACTTCTTCTAAAATGAAACTAGGTTACAACATAAATGTAAAAATTAGATTTCTAAAAAATTAATTGCATAGAAAACCAGCTTTTTAGCCTGCTTTGTAACACTCTGGAGTGTGGACACATGAGGGTGGGAATGTCAGTGCCCACATGGGTGTAGAAAGTACAGGATGGATTTATCAGTCACAATTTTCATGTCACAAGCAGTAAGTCCATGGACACCTCTAGCTCATATTTTAAAGTCTTACAGCAGTCAACAGGGTCTGACAGGACATATGAGCATTCATCCTGCTTCAGCGCCTCCCGAAGAGGGTAAGTACTACAGAAGGTCAGTGTGACACAGGGATAGAGGGGACTCCTAAGCAAGCAAGACACCGAAGATTTTTCCCATCAAAGACTTTAATCAGCACAAGAGGAGCTGGAAGGGTCTAATCTAGCTCCCCTATGAACAGTCTTCTTTCTTCCTCCAGGCAAACTCAGAACCCACAATGGTAAATTCACCAGTTTCTACTTCATCTTTTTTTTTCTTTTTCTTTTTTGGGCTTGGTGCTTTGTTTGTTTGTTTGTTTGTTTTTACATATTGGGCTTCTGGGTAAGATTTTATTTGCGGGGGAGGGAAGCTTCCTGGATAAAGAAAATGTTCTAAAAAACTTTGCTCTACAGGGCTGTTTCTGACTTGTTCAAAATATTTTCGAAATAATATGTTTCTGAAAAACAAGAATAAAGTTAGGACATGGTAAAATAACTCTCAGAATTTAACAACAGCACTGTGAGAAAAACTTAAATCCACCAATGGATTCTCACTACTCAAAAGGATAAACCTAGACTAACAATCTATTTTATGGAGTATCAGCAACAGCCTACCTACATGGTATGATTGAGAGAACAGGGCAACTAGCCACCAAAGAGCTAGATCAATGATCCGAACTCACTCCTACCAGTGAAGTATTTTTATGGACACATTTCAGATGTTTATTTATAGGGTGTTAACATATTGTGTCCACTATGAAACACATAAAAAATGAAATATTAAAGGGATGAGATAAAAATGAACATAAGTAAAAACTCTAATATTATATAAATATTGCGTTCTCAGATACTAACCTCACGGAACCATCTCTGGAGACCATTCATCTAACAGGCACGCACAGTAACCAAGACTACATGCCCACTTAATGCACAGTGGAGACAGAGTTCACTCAGCTAGCAGTGCCCTCTGTTCTTTCCCCTCCTCCAAAAGAATATTTCTACCGCTATATTTACAAAGATGACTTAATTTTGCAACACTGGAATTATTTTAATTATTTATACCATTTAAAGGAAATATTTCCTAGATTTTGCACAGTGAACATTTCATTCATACCAGAAAAACTGTTAATGAAAAGAAGCAGAGACTTTCAGCCAACAGCCACGAGTCTTAAGCAACATAATAATGATGTTATAGGTACCTTGGGCACTTTGAGCTGATCTAACAATGCTCTGCTATGGAATACAGTGCAAGGAAGGGGCTGAAACCTTCTCATTGAGACTAAGAATATTTAGATACCTCTTATAAAGAAAGGAAATATTTTATTATGCCCCTTATAAAGAGATGTTTACGTTTTGAAGTTGCCAAGTTATAGTTTATACATCTTTACTGCAACTACAGCATACATGTGCTTACTGGGAACCTCTAAGACATACGCAAATTTCAACCTCAAGCGTTAAACAGTTAATAGCATTCATCATAAAAGTTTAAATTCAGGGGTGCCTGGGTGGCTCAGTTGTTAAGCGTCTGCCTTCAGCTCAGGTCATGATCCCAGAGTCCTGGGATGGAGCCCCGCATCGGGCTTCAGCCCCGCATCAGGCTCCCTGCTCGGCGGGAAGCCTGCTTCTCCCTCTCCCGCTCCCCCTGCTTGTGTTCCTGCTCTCGCTAGCTCTCTCTCTGTCAAATAAATAAATAAAATCTTAAAAAAAAAAAAAAAAAGTTTAAATTCACTTTTGCTCCTACATTACAGAGAGTTGCTGTAATAGCTGAACGTAACAGCTATGTTCATGAAACATGATCCATTTGCAGTAAAAACAATAAATGTAGGGAGCCTGGATGGCTCAGTCAGTTAAGCATCTGCCTACGGCTCACGTCATGATCCCAGGGTCCTGGGATTGAGCTCCCCTGCTCAGTGGGGAGTCGGCTTCTCCCTCTCCCCCATACCCCTCCCCCTGCTCATGCTCTCTCGGCTCTCTCTCTCAAATAAATAAATAAAACCTTTAAAAAACAATAAATTTAAATAATCTCTCTCAATTTTCCATTTATTCTCAAGTTCTTGAGTTTAGACACAAAGTTAAATATAAATATTGTAAAGCCTATAAAAACTGATTTTACTTCCAAAGTTGCAATACCCATATTCACACCACAATGTCTGGCTTAAAGTAAGCACTTAGTACATGAATGGATTAATAAATGATAAATGATTATAATGTGCTTATGTGAATGAATTCTATAAACATACTAAGAGAATTATGGGAATTTTAAAATAACATTTAGGACCACAAAATGAAAGACATATGGAGCCTGTATCTTGTAATAAACCTTTATAAACAGAAGTGTACACAATATCAAAAAATCATCTAGTGTACATAGGTAGAATTAACAACCAATGTAAAGTCATTTCACTTCTTCAGACTTACTTCATAAAAGCAAATAGCAATAGTATATCTGACTGGTACTTCAGGGTCATGACAAAGGCAGAAGAATGTAGAATAGAGTTCCATGTGGAAGTTTTTAGGATCAACAAACACAATCATGGCCTGGTGGAGGTGGAAGGGAGAAGATGAGCGGGAAGGAGAGAAAAACATGCATCAGTACCTAATATTACAATCACTTCATTTATATTGAAATCATGTCCTTTGAACAATAATTTAGATAGAGATCATACTTGGAAGATCCAAATGCATGCATATAGTTCTAATTTATACGTAAAGATAAATATAAATTACACCAATATTACTTAGTACCTACTGCATATACCAGACATAAGGCTAAGCAGGTGTCAAATATGGCCATACTTTTTAATGCTATCTATTCATATATTTTAGAGTTATAATCAAAATGTTTAGTCAGTACCAATACACAATTTATTACCGGGAAATTATAAGCACAGTTCTTCCGGACAGAAATATATTTCTTCTCCTGCTCTAGGATTTGGGGTGGAATCTGATTTTCATTGTGTCCATTTTCTTGTTGCAAACCCAATGTACAGAGTTTCTTATAAAACTCCAAAAATCTCAAGTGTTGATCTGGAGTAAAAATTCCTAAAACAAATGTAAAACCTTTGTTCAACATTTCAATTGAAAACAAAAAATAAAGAGAGAAAAGCAAAGTACAATACATACATAATTGGAGCAAAATAGTCAAATAAATGGCTAAAGATCATAAATAAAAACAACAGAGGAAAGGGTACCTATCATGAAGAACTCCCAACAGGTCAATTGTTTCATCTTATGTTAATCTTAATAATATTTTAATTTTAATTTTGATAGTATAACCTACACAATGCAGGAATTACAACTGCATTAATTTCTACAGCATACATCATACCACAGACCAACAAGTCACTACAATAATAATACATCAGGGCCATTACTGCTATTTACTTATCATAAATATTCTAAAACAGTCTGCAGAAAAGACATGTATATGTTTCTGCAGAGAGGCGCTTAAAAACTCAATCTAAAGGATGGCAAAGTAAACTCAAAATATTTTTGATCAATGGATAGGAACTCATCATATACTGTAGTACTTAGTTTCAACAGCCTGTTAAGAGTCTACAATATACATTTTTAAAAATGTTTTACTATGCCAGATGGTTCTAACTTAATTTATGCTTACATTAGTATAGTAAGCTAAGAACTGAGTAATATGTTCAAAATGCCAAGTTGTATTATGCTGATTCTAAGCTGAAACGCTCACAGGATATATTACAGCAAATAGTTGATAAGGGTATACTTACTATGTACCAATAGTTAATATAAATGAGCTTCTATTATCATATGCCAACTGATACATAAGTATAAAATATTCAGAAATTTAAAGGGCCATGCCTACTTCATTCTGTCACTGTTCTTTCAAATAGGTTCTACTGGGGGAAAGTCATTTTTCAATGTGTTCTAAATTATGCTATCAAAAATCTAAGGCCTCTTAAGATTTTACACACCTAAAGGATAGGTTTTACACCTGGAAAGCCGAAGTTTAGTGGCTGAGGTAAAAGAAAAAGGAAAAAAATTATCTACAAATCTTGAAAATCTTAAGATATATCATACCATATAGTCCATGGCATAGTTTTCCTAAATGGAAAGATAAGGAAATAAGAATTGATTCATCTGCTTTGAAAGATTTTTCACAAAATGATTTCACTAAGGGAAGTATAGTTTGACTTCTGTCATCTGGAAAACAAAACAAAATAAAACATACTTCAGACCAATCACCCACACGGCACATGGAGAAATTAATATATACACACAGATCCCAGGAAGAAAAATTACTATGTTAGCCACATAGCAACAGAAAATTTCTGCCAGCAATGGTGGCAGAGCTGTGGGGGATAGAAGCAGTGAGAGGAGAGTTGAGATCATCAAAAACCTTAATGTCATGCGGAGGAGCTCAGACTTTCAGTGCACCTGTTTACTGAATTTCTTCACTTTCACTTCTTAGAAGACACTTCCTTAAGAAGCAAATCGATTTTTTTTTTTTTAAGTAGGCTCCACGCCTAGCATGGAGCCCAATGCAGGGCTTGAACTCACAACCCTGCAATCAAGACCTGAGCTGAAATCAAGAGTTGGACACCCAACTGACTGAGCCACCCAGGCGCCTCAGAAGTTAATTAATATTTGTAAATATATCTGCTGGCTATAAATTGCTGATGTATTAGCAAAATTTACATCTTAATTCTAAAACTCTGAATTTCCCATAGTTCTCTTAAACTTTCAGAAATGCACCACTGCTTTATTAAGGGTCTGACAGGACTAAGTAAAATGCATCAACGGGGTTATTAGTATTATTATTCTGGTTACTCTCACCACAGTTCAGTACCACAACTACTGTTTTAACTAAACAACATTCATTAGGCAAACATTTATTGTATTTCGTACAGAACAAGCATTATATTAAGTAGAAGTAGAAAGAGGAGTAATACATGGTCTCTGAACTTGAGAAACTCAGACCAGCGAAGAAGCCAAACACAAAAACTATCATAAGACGATGTGATCACTATTTTCACAGTCGTCATAAGGCAGGGGTCTGCACATGTTTTTTGTAAATGTTCTAGGCTTCCCAGTGTATTTGTCACAACTAGTCTGTCACCACAACACAAAATCAGCTACAGACAATACATAACCACATGGGCATGGCTATGTTCCAATAAACTTTACTTACATAAACAGGAAGCACCAGAATTTAGCCTGTAGACCATAGCTGGCCAACTCTTGGCATAAGACATTTAGAGAGATATCGGAGAGGAAACTGTATTTGCAATGAGCACTGAAGGAGATGTTGGTTAGGAGGAAAATAGAAGAAAAAAAAAAAAAACAGAGAGAAAAGAATACGCAGAAAAGCTAGAGGTGTGGGAGAATCGAATATGCCAAGGTAATGACAAGTGGTATTGGAGCATCGTGTACCAGAAGTGGAAGGAATGTCAGGGAAAGCCGAGAACACAGGTCAGACCCAGATCTATGATAACCGAGTGTGAGCAGTGAGGGGGAAGAGAGCAGAGAGGATGCCAAGGTTCCTAGACTGAATGCCCAGGGGTGCCCCATAATTAGGACAAGCAGATTCATTCATTTGTCTCTTTTCATGCATTATAGTTTTTCCTCCTCTGGCCCATCAGATAGCCTAAATGATTAGTCTGTAGCAATCATACATAATTACTGTCCACACTGCAAAAATCTTTAACAGGCTCTCCTAGTTCACGTAAAATGCTGTTAATCCAAGTAAATGTAATCCTATAATTACACAATAGAGTTTTGCACCAAAGTACTTGATATTTACTCCTCCAAACTTCACCATATCAACATGGTTAATGTTTACTAATAAATTAATGCCCAGCATTAGTCAAAGGTCTAGTCATACACTCACAGAGGAGCTGTCTTTGTGATTTGATTGACACAATGCTAAGAAATACCTCTGTACCCATTCCCACCCAAGTACCTCATCCCAGATTTCTCCTCCTATGGCCATGAGATTTCTAGCATTAAAATATTAAGGTAGGGAAACTAATTTAGACCTTGTTTTAGTCAGCATCTTTCCTAGGGCCAATTAGTTGAACAAGTTAGAGGCTAATTACCAAGCCAAATTCTTAGGAAGGGAGGCTTAATGTTCATCACAAAATCCGATGTAAGAAATTCTGTCCTTTATCGTCCTTTACTCCCTTATCAGTGATACAAAAGAGGGAAAAACACTGCTTTCAGAAGCAAAGATGTGTCTACATGTAGATTTACCTGTATCAAATACATCAAGCAGATTAACCAGAGTTTCAAAAGCTGCAAGACGCACACTGCTGCCTTCATCCCTAGAGAGTTCTATTAGTTCAGGGAGCACCACGCTTTTTGTAAGTTCTGTCCTGCACAGTAAGCAACAGAAGAAAATAAATCAATTCAATAAATTATAGCAAGAGCTTATTAAAAACAAGCCATGGTGCCAGGTGCTGTAGAAAATAGGAAAAATCACAGAGACGTGGCTCCTGCTCTCCAGAAGCTGGCAATCTGGTTGGAAAGCATGATAAAAACATAAGAAACAGTAATAGTAATTGTATAATTATTTAAATCAATTCTAGTTCCACCAGGATAATATTATTACCTACAGAGATCTTAATGACTAGACATTTATATTAAACTTTATAATTTCCTTAAAATTTTATTTATTTACTTTTCAGAGAGAGAGAGCACGAGCAGGGGGAGGGGCAGAGGGAGAGGGAGAAGCGGGCTTCCCGCCGAGCAGGGAGCCCGATGCGGGGCTCGATCCCAGCACCCTGGGATCATGACCTGAGCCGAAGGCAGCCGCTTAACCGACTGAGCCACCCAGGCTCCCCTAAGCTTTATAAATTTTAACATAGTTTTCCATTTTAAGCAACCAGCTAATGATCTGGACTAATGAGAAAAACTTAACAGTAGTGACTGTAGAAACCTTAAAATCTTTTTCTCTAGATTTCAAGGGATAAATTACTTTTTCATTCACCTAAAACATAACATTACAGGAATTAATTTCTATATAGAATGATATATGATACTAGCTGCTCCCTCTAAAAGAATGAAACACAATATACATGCTTTCAGGACACAGACAACATTTATAATATAATCACAAATGGTTCTTATTCAAGACTTTAAGTTTCTGCTTATTCACCCTAATAAGATGTTATTACAATGACACACACTGATAAAGTGGAGGCATATAACGTGGCCAGCTTTCTTGGACACATGATAGAAGATGGTATGAATTATAATTTGATAGAATACAAAACAGTCAATAAGAGCTGCACAATAGAGTTTTGTGGCGAACACAAAGACTCTAAGACATCACCGTCAAGCAGAAGGTTCTGCTATGATGCAAATGTTTGTAATTTAAAATACGGTCAGTATAACTGAGGAACTGAAGTTTTAATTTTATTTTACTTAATTTAAATAGCCAAACATGGCTAGTGCTACCATACTGGACAGCACAGCTCGAAGGACTTGAGTGATTAGAGGGCCAAAAACTGTTTTTTAAGGAATTAATCTATGAAAGGGGCCAAGGTGGTCAAAAAGGTGCAAACTTCCAGTTATTAAATAAATAAGTCATGGGAATGAAATGTACAGCAGAGTGACTATAGTTAACAATATTGTATTGCATATTTGAAAGTTGCTAAATCTTAAAAGTCCTCATCATAAGAAAAAATATTCTGTAACTATGTAAGGTGACAGGTGGTAACTAGACTTACTATGATAATCATTTGCAGTGTATACAAATATCAAATCACTATGTTGTACACATGAAACTAATATAATGTTATATGCCAATTATACCTCAATAAAATTTTTTTCTGAATAGTACTTAATTCTTCATATATAAAATACTCATGTCAGTATTTTGAGTAATTTTGAGTATTTTTGAGTAAATTGCCAAGAAAATCACCAACACCCATTTCTTTTTTTTTTTTTTAAGATTTTATTTATTTATTTGAGAGAGAGAGCACATGAGAGGGGGAGGGTCAGAGGGAGAAGCAGACTCCCTGCCGAGCAGGGAGCCCGATGCGGGACTCGATCC